GCAGACTGTATTGGGTAATACGTTCTTCTTACACAGTTCTGTGCAATTTCTTATCGGCTTACGCGAGACGCTGAATTGCATTCGCAGAAGGCTACTCTAATCGCCCCTATCGTTATTCATACGCGTACTGCTCGACATCATAATACGGTATTTAACTTTCACTGTGCGGCGCAGAGATCAGGTTCGATAGGTCAGCCAGCGATTCCGCATTTCTGGAGGCCGGTCTATTCCTGCCCGCCGATCATCGTCGGGAGATAGTTACCGATTCCGGACGGGCTTGAGACGTGGCGATCGAGGGGCTTCGAGCGATCAAAATTGTTCCCGTCGAGCACGCGAACGCACGCAACGCACGCCGCGCGAACCAACGCATCGACTACCTCGAGAGGCTGTCTGCACTTCGCTAACTCCTCGAGTACTTCGCGATCGTACGAGCGTTTCATGTATTAGTAATTTCAGCTAAGTTTACCTTAAATAAACGACCCATTAACCGCGATACGACTCTAGAGATATGAAATCTCGAGAAAACACTCGGAAACTCGCATACATTTTTACATTTACGCGCACACGTATGATTCATACTTCCTGCGCCATTCGACGAATGAAATTACGAGAGAATATTATAGTTTGATTTTGTATATAAATTCCTCGTATATTTTTCCTCATTTTATTAGACTTTAACTTTACACCGTCAGTAAGGTCTATCTTATTAAGGAACACGGTAAATTTTACTGGGGGGAAACATATATTGAGAAAGAAAAGATATCTAAGAAGTAGAAAATATTTATTCCGCGTAAGTAATAAGTTCCGGGTACTAATAACATATTCATTTATACTAATATAAAATATTTTTCAGAAAAGAAAACATACATTTTCTTAAAACCTTAACTTTTCATGGAACTGTTTACTTCATTTAAATAAAAGATTTTGTTTAAATTTAGGATTTTAGTTAAACTTAAGATTTTAAATAAATTTAAACAAATATGTTATTATAATACGCATTAAATAAAAGATTTTATTCAAATTTAGGATTTTAGTTAAACTTAAAATTTTAAATAAATTTAAACAAATATGTTATTATAGTACGCATCGAATAAATATTTTCTTATTTTTTAGACATCTCTTCTTTTAGTGTAGAATTTTTCAATAGCATATTTTAGTTTCCAAAATATAAGCACGTAAAATGGAAGAATGGTTAATTAGTGCAGAATATTAAAAAATTCTTTTTTAGTATATAGTACATTTCGCTAGAAACACAGCATATATTTAATAGCACATTTCAGTTCTCGAAATATAAGCGGCACATTATTACAAGATAGTTCATTGTTACAGGATGTCAGTCTAATTTATGGTTATAGAAGTCTACAATAATTTATACTGTAAACTTCTCTCCGTGTCCAAATGGAATCCCACTTCAAGGTCTGCTGTTGATCATAAAACGTACAAGTGACAGTCCCGAATTAACGAGCGAGGCTCTGCGAAAGTGTCGTTCCTCCGGCCTCTCTCTCTCGCGACACGACGATGACTCCTCAGTCGAATGAGGTGAATCGGTACCCGTCGGGTTACTCTTGCCCGTGTTACTCGGCCTTGACGCGCGATACCATCAATGAGCAATATTGTCTACGTAAATTACTCAAATCGATCATTACGCGCGATTCGATGGGCCAGGCGAGCGCGAAGAGGTCAGCTGGTCCGCGCGAATGCCGGGACGCGGTGAAAGGCCAGGTAGGCCTTCGCCTTCTCGAGAGCGTCTCGAGCTGCTTTTGGTGCCGATCGAGAGTAAAGCGTGAACGGTAATCTCGCGGGACGATTCCTCGCGAGGAGGAATCGTCATTGAGCTGGCGATCCATCATCGCCGGTGCATCATTGCTTTGTACGCGATTAAGCGAATGCTCTCTTGGACGTGGCGAGATTAAAAGTTGAAAGAGAAAAAGAAAGAAGTCTTCTCTCTTTTTCGCCGTAGAGTTTATACATATGTATTGCCGATATACACTATTAATTATTATCCAACGTACACACACGATGAGCGTCATCATATTTTCATCGCCCGCTCTTATTTTTACTGCCATTCGAAATGTATTTCAATTGGCCGTAACTATGCAAGAATATGCACGTGAGAATGAAGCACGTTTCGAGAAAAGTGAACACGAAAATTCGACACATGGTTTAAGAAGTACAGATGACACAGAGATTCTTCGCAATCGTTCAATAAATCAAATATTAACATGTTTGTTACCAACGTTGCACATGTGTAACTCTCACTTCATCTCCTACTTGAGATTCTTCGCTCAAAATTTTCAATTTTATTACTATTTATTAATACTAAACATGTTCGCTACCAACGTCACATGTGTATGACAACAATATCTCTCTCCATATATCCACATATGATAGCAAAACAAGTCTGTGTTACACAATTACACGAAAACAAGTGTAATATGGTCTGTGAAGAGAATTCTCCGAATAAACCGCATATTAATTTCGCCGATTATTATGCATGATTGTTGTTGTCGTAATTGTTTAATGTTACGTGAGTAACTTTAGACGATAGTGAATTATTGAACATTATCTCCCTGTGATACGAACTGCTCCGGTCATGTCTCTTGCCGTTTGATATCTGTTCAATATAAGGACGTTATCCTTATTTCTCGTCACGGACATAATGTGGATGTCTATTATTAATCTTTCCCTTCGGCCAAGTTCCATCGATACGAGCTCATATCTGACGTTGCCTTACAATTTGACACACGACGTCATCGGGAACGCGTTCCCTGGCGAAATCGCGGCGATCGGCGGGCGATAGATTGTTGCGCCAAGAGGGATTATCGGGAATGGCAATTCATTTACGTGATCTCTAATAATAATTGCGTGGCCCCGGCGAACGCACGCTGCCAAGTGATCGGCCGTAGATAAAAATGGCTCGGAGATGTTTATCTCCCCGTATGGAACTTGCACAATTTTGCGCGCACTGCCGCGGCGTGTCTACGCGCGCATTGGCCAACTCCCTGGAGCGAGACTTTCCTTTCCTGCAAAAGTGATCTTCGCTTTTGCGATTGGTCTCTAAAAAAACTGAATCGAGCGAGACCCGACAGTTTTCAAATATTACGACTGCTTCCTACACTAAGAGAAAAATGAGTGATACTGAAATTATAGTTATTTCTGTACTTAACTATAGTTTCTGGTTGTTGTAACACGAAAATGGTGATGGTAACGTGCATATAAAATTAACATCATAAACATTACAGTAGAATTTATTAAAAAGTGGTTTTCTTGAATAATAATAATTATTTCTCTACATGATTACACTTTCTTAAAATGGATCGATATAAATGTTTCTAATTGAATCAGCAAAAAAAGTATTTTACTCCGATAATCAGTGAATATTTATTGATTTTTAGTGGAAATATTCCCATTTTACTGTTCCACATTATGTCTTACTGATAACCAGTAGAAATAAGATTTTACTACAAAATCTGCAATACACAAATTCGTTATACGTTGTGTCAAATTCAACTTCTTATGTTCATGTCGATGGAATTTATGACTTGCGTGCGATGAGACTGTTTGCGTTTGCAAATTGCGTCCATAATAGAAATAATCGCTATTACTGATTCTTTCAGCGAGATTTTACTGATTGAAATGTTACACGCTGAGAAAAAATATTACTATAATCACATAAAGAAATAGTTACAATAAATTATGGTTAAGAAAACTATTTTTTTCATTAAATTCTAGTATAATTTAACCTGGGTGGTAATAACCTTATATGCATATTACTACTACAAAAAATATAGTTGAAGCCAAAAATAGCTATAATTTTAGTTGGATGAACCATTTTCTTTTCTCAGCATGCTTATAACTGAACCGTCAGTTATAGCCTAGCCATTTCAGTGAAGAATACATTGACAATAATTTGAGAGCATATAGTTAAAAATACCAAACACTTTCCTCTTAATGTACCGTCGCCACTTTTTGACTTTTACTTCTTAATCTCGCCGTTAATTCCCCGTTGGGGGGGAAATCGACGAAGAAGCAGAATCACGTCAGTAAGTCGCGACTTACTGACTTCCTGTGGCATCTCTCAGAGTGCTGTGGAATTAAGTGAGTTAGAGAACGCAAACGGATGACATTACGCGCGTTGAATGCGACCGTCCGAACACGAGGCACACACGCGAAGAAAGTTGACCCCAGATTGCGACCATTTGATCCGGCAGTTCCATTTTCGAAACACCTGGTATAATTGTGATTTGCTCACTCGTGAGAAGCGAAGTACCGGCGAGGCGCAGGTGGGATAATATCAAAGAAAGAGTCACCGACGCGCGTGTCCGGACTGACAAAGCGAACTGAGAGTCGCATCTGACCTGACCTAGCGTTTCCGGTTCAGCGCGCGCGCGATTCGCCGTCGTGATAATTACCGTCGCACCTTCGTAAGGAAAGTACTCCTCAGCGCGTAATCGTCGCGCCCGCCGGCTCACCTGCATTCTCTTTCTCTCCCTCTTGTACGAGCGCGCGGACGAATATTCTGCGAACGTCTTCGCGATTATCTCTACCGATGAATCACACCGTGCGTTTCCCGCCAACGAGGTCGCCGCCGTATTTCCACACCATCCCCCGTCGTCCGAGTGTCGCGAATGTCGCGGAAAGGCGCGAGAATCCCGCGACCCCGGCGAGAGGAGTTCCCGATCTCGCGACACGATCGCGGACCCGCGTCTCCCGCGTCGCGCCAAGGGAGTGGATGGAAGTCCGTCCGGAACGGCGACGGGGATTTTCGTCGTCGGTGGCGATCGCGATAGCAGATGACGACGATGACGATGACGACGGTGGTGGTGATGGTAACGGTGGGTGGTGGGTTGCGCGGTGGTGGGCACGAAAGTCGCAGTTTCGTGAACTAGAGGACGAACACGCGGGGGGGAAATAGAGGGGGCAGGGCGGGGGCCAACGCGAAGAAAGGCAAGAGCTATAAAAGAGCCGGCGGGCCCGACGATGGGCATCAAAACACCTCCGACATGAAGGTACGTAGAAGCGGGACCGATTCGCGAGTGCGAGTGCGTACGCACGTAATACGCCGCTTGTATCGAACGATCTCTCGAGGCGCCTCCAAGTACTTCAACACGCGGATCTAAATCATCATCAAAACGCTCACGCCTGCTTTCGTTTTCTCGTTGCAGGTGTTCGTAGTCACGCTCGTGCTGGCGCTCGTTGCCACCGCATACGGTGAGTAGTACAATAGCAAGCTTATGGTAGTCGGGTTAAAGATGGCCGCGGATTACGACGGGGGTTGTCGCGCGCGCTCGCGTGTGTCAAGTGTTCGCGGAGTTTTCAACCTCGCGAGGTACTCCCGGAGCCACTAAGTGATACACGGAGAGAATTATATAATAAAATTTACTGTAGGATTTTGTATTAACTAAGGATAGGCATTCCATAGCAATTCACTATTCTTTAATTCTACATGTGCTGCTTATATTTTAGAAATTGAAATGTGCTATTAGAACACTCGCTATGTTTCTAGCGAAATTTACTGTCTTCCTTAGTAAAATGTAGAGACTTTACTGACAGTCCATTCTTATACTATAAAAAACATAGTCTAATTGATAAGAATTTATACGAAGGAAAAGTTATAATATTCTCTCCGTGCAGTGATTGGTCGTGGACGCATCGAACAGCTCGTCAATGTTCGCCGATATAAGCTGGCAAAAAATTATCTAAAAATTAGTAAATATTTATCAGACGGACACTAACAGTATATTTACTTACATCTAAATTCTTTTATTTGAATAGAGTAAATAATTAATTTTATGAAAAACTAAGGTTTTCTTGAGGTTTTGAGAAAATGTATATTTTCTTCTTTGAAACATGTTTTCTTTGAAATATTCTGTGCTATCTTAAACTATCTGATGTTGCTCGGGCTTTTCTTATACCTAAAACATCTAAATTTAAATTGTCACAAAAAATCAGAGGGATAAAGTCAGATGAAGGTGCGTCAAGGTGTAGCTTATACTTTCCGAAGGGTCCTAAATGTTAACTAACAAAATTTGGTCTAGATCAGTCAGACTTAGGAGTTAACACGAAGGACATACAGACATATTATATTTTATATATATTGATTAGTATTTTATATATATTGATAAGATATTTTTTATTTTAGTCCTCAGTAAATTTCAGTAAATTCCACAATACACTGCATAGCGCGGCATACCATTAATTGAATAACATCGAAGAAATATCAAATTAGAGAAAAAAAATAATTGGAGTTTACTTTCTCTTTTAATTTCAACATATTATATAGAGACGTGGTCTGCGACATCACGAGAGTGTATTAATTTCCTCTCGACAGAATGGCACGCGTGTCATTAGGGTTGTAGTAACGCTGATGGTTTCCTCGCACTTGGAATTACGCGGCTAATCTTGTCAATTAATTTGTATGATGCCGACTGCCTTGTCGCACGATTCTAAACAAATTAATTGCTACTGCACTAATACCGCCGTTACGACATGAACTCTCATTCGAGATAATAAGCTCATGGCTGTACCACGGAGTTATCAGCCGAAGTAACGACCGAGACGAGTACACATTGAATTCTGTGAATCACGCTCCTCTCCCCCGCGTGGATCCCCCCGCCTCACCACCTGAGAGCCATAACTTGCGCGATTTTTCATGCGATCGCAAGCTCCGCGGGTCAGCGATGTTAAATGATCCCGTGAGATTTAATCCGGCAGTAATTTGTACTCCTGCCCTTTTGAGACGACTTACACAATCGGCGGAGCGCGGCAACCGGTCTCTTTCTTGTAGCAATCGCAGAATACCTCGTGGCAATTTGCGGGGCAACGCGAGCGAGCGCTACCACCTGGTACCGCTCGCAGCCGCCGTGTGGCACAAAGAAAGTCGATAAATCGCCCATCGCGCGAACACACGCGCTCCATCCTCGTCCTCTTTTGTAAATTATAGGAAAATTACGTAAAGCGCGTTCGTCGGCGCGGCGCAGTAACCGGATCGGAATTTTCGAGTGCGACGGAAATATATTCGAAACATTCGAATGTATGTAAAGTGACCAAATTTTGCAGTTCCAAACGCAAAAGGAGAATGGAGGATAAAGAAAATAGTTTTACCTATAAACGTAAAAAATGACTTAACAATTATAAAGATCTATTACATGCAGTAAAAGTAGAAATTATTGTTAAATTGTAGAAATTATTGTAGAAACACAAATTTGTTGTTATTTTTACTTAAAATGAAGAAGAAGGAGCGAAGTTGCTGTATTTACCCGAGCTGTGAATTTTCTTGAGAAGTTCTTCCTTCGTCAGAGGCATCTTAAGTGTGATCGCGTGTTTTTGCGAATGCGAAATTACAGGCGGTTACATAAGTAGCGGCGGTGGATACGGCGGCGGCGGCGGCGGCGGCGGCGGCTACGGTGGCGGCGGCTACAGCGGCGGTAGCGGCGGCTATGGCGGTGGAGGTTGGAAATTCGGCGGAGGGGGCGGTGGATACGGCGGCGGTGGCGGCGGTTACGGCGGCGGCGGCGGCGGTGGAAAAATCATCAAGGTGATCACGCTCAGCGGCGGTAGCGGCGGTTACGGAGGCGGCGGTTACGGCGGCGGCGGTGGAGGTGGATGGAAATTCGGCGGCGGCGGCGGCAGCGGTGGATACAGCAGCGGTGGAAGTGGATGGAAATTCGGCGGCGGAAGCGGCGGATTCGGCGGCGGCGGCTGGAAATTGGGTGGCGGTGGTGGATACGGAGGCGGTGGATACAGCGGCGGCGGCGGCGGCGGAGGTGAGACGCTATTTGTGTAGCTCGTCATCGTAAATCGTTGGCGCGAGACGCACCTTGCTTTGACGCTTTGAAGCGTCGTACGAATCAACAATGGCATTTTTTAAAGCGCTTTAAAGCGTTTCATGAATCGCACCCGTAGACATCCTTGAACTAGAGATTGGCCATGAGGTAACGCGTTTCGATTGGTTCGCCATGTTCTATTGATTCCCGCTCATATTACACAACAATTTTACAAACTTTGTATCTCAACAAGACAGATCGAGGAGAAGCTCGAGAAAATTGAATAATATTTTCTCTTTATATAAAACATTGAAGTAATATATACTGAAAAGTTCATCGTGTTTAATATTTCTTCCACGTGGGATATTTCGTACTCAGAGCAACATTTTGCAGAATGGTGCTGCATATTTATTCATTTTTCCGACAGATTCCGTACACATTACGATGACACATTATAACAACATGTTGCTATAATACTGATAATTGTAATCACAAATTTCATAGCACTGTAACGTCACTATCACGCAAACATACTTGAGCGCGTCGGAGCATTAGAATTATAGAGATTGAAGAGTGAGATAGAGTGAATATTTTATCTTCTTTTTCTCGCATGATTTTGACGAAATCACTCTTATATGGCTAATCTCGGATTTAAGGGTTTCGAGGGAATGAATCGGTGAAAGTCAGCGAACGGTAGTAGAAGCACGGGCGACCTTACGATTTTCAAAAGTGCGAATTATCGTCGCGCATATCGGTGACAGACGAAATTGCGCAGCGGGCTTTCGCGCTACGTCTCACTACCCGTTTTGAACGAATAAACGAACGAACGCGCGAGCTTCTGGCTCTCGCCGCGGCCATTAATATGTCAGTAATATTTGCGGTACACGTTTTACGCGGCTGATAAATTATCCCGGCTTCCGCGACGGGGAGAGGGAGAGAGAGGAGAGAGGAACGCCGTCTACGAGAGGACTCGCTCGCGTTAAATTAACTTTCTTCTTTTGAAAATTTATTACCGTGTAATTTCCATTCTTTCTCATTATCGCCGCGCCGCCATGCGCGATCCGGCGCATCGGCGCTTAATCGCGGCTTTATTTATCGCGTGAATTAACTTCCAGGCTGGTGGTAATGCCCGTGGCATTCACGAGCAGTCAGAGTGAAATTCGCGCGCCGATCATCCCGCGTGTATCTTGGCTGTAAGCATCGATCGTCAGATGAGGAAATCAACCCTTTCCTCGTCGCCTCCCGCACCTCCGCGTCCGCCCACTTCGCCCCTTGTATCTTCGTCGTCGGCATCTTCTTCTCTTCATCGGAGGACCAGGACGAGGCGAAATCTACGGGACACGTCACGTCGAACGCCCCAAAAATTCCTCCTCTTCCTCCTTCTCCTTTCCACCACACACCCTCATCCGGGTAAGAAGATCCGCGTCGTGAGGAAGCGTCGTGGCGATACGCACCGTATGAAACACCACCCTCTTTCCATTCTCGCCCTTTTTTCCACGGCGCTTACCCTTCACCGAGTTACGGGGGGTATCTCTCTCTTTCTCTCTGTCTCTCCCTCTCTCTCTCGGAAACAGTGAACGATATCGTCGTCCCGCTTCCGGCTATTCGAACCTGCCGTCGCGTCGTCTGGAGGAAACGACTTCCTTCACGACGGCGCACTTTCTACCCTCGTCCCGCTGTGCATTCTCCACCCCCTTCCCTACTATTCCGCCACTCGTCCCGCTCTTCTTCCGTAATCCGGAAAATCGGCGGACGTTCCGTTTACGAGCGAATCCCGCGCCCCGATATTTCAATTCCGCTTCCTCTCTCGCGCGACCTCCCCTGCCGCACTCACTTCCTCCAGACACCTCGTTCGCTCACGTTGTGAGCTCCTCTCCCCGACAGGGATTGGAAGAGCGTCACGGAGTGAGGCGCCGTTCCGGCACGACATTTAGCCCATTATATACACGTAGGGACAATCGCATGAGGTTTCGCGCACACACTGTCGAAAGAGAGAGAGACAGAGAGAGAGAGAGAGAGAGAGAGAGAGAGAGAGAGAGAGAGAGAGAGAGACAAAGAAAGGAGAGACAGAGAGAGATTATATCTCACAGCACGATTGAGAGAGCGAGACGAACAACCAACTGCAAAAAATTATACGCGAGAAGCAAGAGAAATGAAAGCGCAGTGACCAATCAAGTTTAAGCACTCGAAACGTACTACACGTACTTCTCTCTTCTCCTGTTTTTCCACCCTCCTTTCTTCTTTTTTTTTTTCTTGATCTGGACTGTTTTTGATTCAACGATCCACAATAAACGAATCATACTAGTAGAAATATGATGTGTTGACTTTTGTTTTATTATTATGCGTCCGGCGAGCGCCTGTAACTCTTTCTCTCTCTCTCCCTCCCTTCCTCTCATTTCCCAAGCGCAGCAGATCGAAAATCCGTAACGCGCGCGCGGGAACGAGCTCGGGAGAGAAATGAAACGCAGCGGCGGTGACCAGCGCTACCGATTTAGCGATTTCCCGCCGTCGATTTATGTATCCGCGGCGGTCTCTTGCGTAACCGGGGCGAAATTAAAACCGTAAACGCCCGACGGCGAGCGGGGTAGATATTGCCGAACGTATGGATTTACTATCGACGTTGCCATCGGCCACGCGCACGCTTCGCATTACGATATTGCCGGGATCGCATAAATATCGCGCGCTTTTTCCGCGCTACGTATTACGATTCCCCGTCGGTGATATATACGCGCGTGCGCCATCAAAAGGCGACGTATAAAATATTAATTAGCAATCAAGCCGTGACGGTGATAATCGCAATCGTAATCGGTTGAGCGAAATTTCTCCGGGCATATTTCGCTCGACGTCGCTTCGGTCGTTTACCGTCGTAATTCTCACGCCTGCCTCTTGCATCCCCGTGCGCTTCCGCTTAACATCGGCGGATCGGACGGTAACAGATGCCGTGGTAAAAGCGCGGCGCTTTTACTCCGCGCGTAATGGCACAAATTGCACCGCGTAAAATTTGATCGATCCTCAAGCTTCGATCAGCCCCTTCGTCGCATGCAAGCTCGCGTAATTCAACGCGGTGCATTTCCCCAGCGGTCGATCCGAGTCTGCACTGAAGAGAACAAGCGGTTGAATTAATGAGACTTCGCTTGAAACCGGCAAAATTCATTCGAGCAAACCTTTGGTCGATCCAACGGATTGTGCACGGTTTGTGCTGTGAGGAGTCATCGGTTGATGTGCAGTGATTGCGACTCGTTTGGTATGAACGCGACTTGTTGTTGCGTTAACGCGTGACTGGTTCAACGAACACGATATCTCCGTGAAAGGCAGGTGATTTTGTTGATACAGCTGCTACTTTTCTCTCGATATACTTGGTTGTCGCCGGTTATTACGATTCTGTTTCCTCTCTCTGTTATACGTGTTTAATCGTATGCGATTACACCGCTGTCAGATAAGGAACGACAAATAGGAAGGGGAGAAATAGTCGCGCGGCTTTTACTACCAGAGCGCGTGAAATAAATAGCATCGGCCTAATTAAAGAGGCCGCGTAACAAGCGCGAAATTCAACGCGCGGCGCAACGTGCTTTCGCTCGGATAAGCGTTAAGAGACACGCGCATGCGCGCACTCGCACGCAGCAAACACACAGCAAGTTTCCCGTATGACAGCTGCGTGACTTGGAGGTAATAACCGTGCGAGTGGTATCATGCTAATTACGTTCTGCTCGCGTGTTATAAGAGCGACGCGACGGTGTTGATATCGCGTAACTCTCGTTCATTCTTTCGCCGACGGTGTTCGCGTAAATGGCGAAGCCATGCGCGATTGCTATTGTAGTTGCGATGTCCGCAATTTCCCACATCGATCCTCCAGTTATTTTCACGACGTGGGAGAACGTAATTCCACCTCGCGAAAGAAATTGCGTTGCCTCCCTAGTGACGACTGCGCCTCGTTGCGTCTTAATGACACGGATATTCTTACTTCTTAGCGGAAGGATTTACGCGTATAATGGTCCTCATAAGTCCTCATCGCTGCAAAATAATCCCGCGCCGCGAAGAGACCCACGATTGTCGTCGCTGAACGCGTTTAACCTTTTGGAGCACAGTGATTTTACCGTGAGATCATCTATTAGAACTAAATCATAATTTCAGGTATAATGATCTCGTAAACGGAACCACCGCTCAGCTTGTGCATAATGATGCACTCTATCGGTCTTAATAATAGGAAATATATATGGAAAAATAAGAAAATAAAATAGGAAAATAAAAGAAATTAATTTGAAAAGAAGTGATCTCTTGAGTTGTCATTCTAGACATGCGACATGAATATTTTATTAGAATCCGAATTTTGGAGGACCTGTGCTTCAAAGGGTTAACTTCTTTCTGCACCACCGCCCTTCTGTGTGCGCGCAGTCGTTGTTTCGCTCGTGTTCTATTCGAGCGAAACCGGGAGGAGAGCAGAGGAGGGGGGTATGAAACATCGTCGTTATTCAAACGATACGCTGTATCCGACTCAATTATATTATGTCACGTTACACCGTCGCGCGCTCGAGAGCGATCGTGAAACAAACGATGATCATCCATCAACGGAATGAATCCCATTTTAATCCCTTTCAGTTCGGAGGATCGAGTTATGCGTCACTTGTCAGCGGTCATTAGTGCGTCGGGACGAACTGGTCGAAAAAAGGGGAAAGGAAGGGGGAAAGTAGAGTAGAGTTTATCTTGCGGCCTGGTGAGAACCCTTTAAAGTTTATGGGATATATCGCATTTAAGAAATGATTTATATGCATAAAATGAAATGTCTGTCTGTTCTCTATACTCTAGACTCTGCAACTGATCTAGACTAAATTTTACCCAGTTACTCTCAGACCATGCGGAATATAAGTTGCGTAAAATCTGAGCACTTGAGCACCCCACTTCTTTCCTCCTGATTTCACCCCCTTGATGCTTTGTGATAATCCGAGCAACGTCGAGTAGTTTTTTACTAATATTCTCCAAAAGGGAAAATGTCCAGTTGTCAGTATTCTATCTGTTTTCGGCACTCTTGTTGAATATTGTCAGATATTAAAGAGCATAAGGACTTAAAGAAAACAGATAAAAATAAATATTTAATATTATATAATATTATATATATAATATTATATAATATTATATTATATAATATTATATAATAATTAAATGTTTAGTATTATAATAATATATAATATTATATAATAATTAAATGTTTATATATATATATATATATATATATATATATATAGTATTATAAGACTTAATATTTAATGTTATGCAAATAAATATTTAATATTATATAATATGTATATATGTAATAATATTTAATAATATATATTAATTAATAGATAATACTTAATGATACATAATAATTCATAGATAATATATAATTAGTAAATTCCTATATATCTCCCACTGAATATTTGATTCGAACGAGGGTGCCAGAAAATGAGATAAGTACTGTAACGAATGCCAGTTAGTAGGCGTTTTCTTTTAAAACCACTTATTGAAATCTGATTAGTATAAGGTGAAATCAGTGAAATCAATGTAGGGGAAATCAGGGCCATTTGGCTACCAGGATAAGTTGGAAAAAATCGATTATTTCTACTGTTCTTTAACAGATTTTAATATCAAGCAAGAAGAGGTTTCAAAGTCATTTTTACATGTTTACAAATCTTACTTGCTTAATTTTGTAACTGTTAAAAAATACCGGGAATAACCGGTTTTGGCTACTTATCCTAGCGGTCAACTAGCTCCGGCCTTTCCTATTCTTCACTATGCTTATAATTAGCGATTCAATTATAAATACAACATTGTAATCAGTAAAATCTCACTGAAAGAATTGATTAATAGTAGCGATTGTTTCTATTATTAATGCAGTTTGCAAACACAGACAATGCAACTGCACGCAGAAGCCGTTAATTCCATCGCGAGGAAGTTGGATTTGGCACAGCGTATAACGAGTTTGTGCGCTATGAATTTCCCGGTGAAATCTTACTTGCACCGGTCAAAATCAGCGAAGAATAAGATGGTATAAATAAGTGAGGTGGGAGTATTTTCCCAGAAAATCAGTGAATATTGCCTGATTATCACGGTGAAATGCTCTTTTCACCGATTCGATCAGAAACATTTTTACTGATTCACTTGAGGAGAGTACGCCCGAGTCAGATTGCATAAAGGAGTAAATCTTGCAATTATTTATGAGAAAAAAAGAATTTCTCTGTCTCTATAAAGAGTAGCTAAGAGTATTTAAATGCGCAAAGAAAAAGAGGAACAGTCCAAGACAGGAAGGAAAGGAAGGCTAAAAGGATTCGACGCGGTAACGACACCGCGCAAATACAGAAACGGCTATGAAAGCCGCTTAAGGCAATCGGAGGCTGCATCCGCGCGACTAGTGCCTTTCGGTTGAACTTTAATGCATCCTATTCCTATTATTCGTACCGCCGTTCGGCCACGGCAGCTCTCGAGGCAGTTTCGAATAGAACGCGCTCGCCGCTAATTGGATCCTCCAGATCCGCGCTTTGATTAATTATGATGGAGTGAGCGGGCGAACGAGCGAGCGCATTGGTCTTCGAGAGGATCGCGAAAGTCGCTCGCGCGAACAACGTTCGTCGATATAACTTTTTTATTCGCGATCCGCGATGCGATCTCTCGCGTCTCGTTCCTCCCGCGATTCGAGCTGAATGCGTCCTTCCGTGCGCGCCTATGTCTGCTGTGCTCGCCGCTGAACAAAGAAAAAGAGAAGCGCGTCGTCCTTTCGGCTTCTCTCCGCGCAGCCCTTTGGATTAAATATTCCATGGCAGACTTGGTTTACACGGTGCACGTGCCCTACTTTCCTATTTTTTTACGACTACGCGCGTCGCGTTACGGGGTGGATTTTTATCTGGGAACTTGGCTCGTCGGTTCCCCCAGCTTCCGCTGGGTAGTCTTCGCGAGTTGTTGCCGCGAGCAGATCGTCTCTTATATGAGCAAGCGTCTCTTATATGAAACGCAACATTTTGATGAACGAAGTTGGAGCATATTGAAAAATTGTGCGACCGATCAAATGTTTTACCGTAAGCAGAGCAACGTGCGATCTTGTTCCTATATTTGCAACGCGTGAAGTTTTCTGATGAAAGACTCACAGGGACATGGATTCGCGCGCGTTCGCGAATTGCTACCGGTAGTAATTGAATACGAAGGCGACAAGACGCGTAACGATGACATTTCGAACGACATCCGATTCGGTCGATCATGATGACGCTCAGCAGTTACATTAACGACATGTTCGACGCTCATTCGGTCGGCTGGCCAATCATATTTCGCGTGAAGGGTCTTCAA